AGAGATGGTATAAATCATACCCCAAACCTCAGCATCACGCAATATACCAATGTAACAAACCTGTACATATACCACCTGAACCTAAAATAAAATAGGGCACCCAATTATTAGAAAATAATCATTCTTTTCAAGTACACATGCAACATTTATCAAAGTTGATCACAAACTTAACCTTAAAAGATGTCTCAGGGAAGTTTTCCTTCAAAGAATCAATATCATGCAAAGTTATCTGACAAAAATGCAATTACATTAATAATGTAATTAAAAGAAATTTTTAAAATTAAATAATTTAGATATTTTAAAATTCCAAATGATTCATGTGTCAAAGAAGCAATTGTGATGGGAATGTTTCAATACTTTTAGAACAGAATAAAAATGGAAATACTATATATCAAAATAGAATGCTTCAAGAAAAATTCGCAGTCTTAAAAGGTCAGAGTAAAAAGAAAAACTGAAAATTAATAGATTAAATGTGTAATTTAAGAAGTTAGATAAAAAAAAAAAACCCACCAAAAAATTAAATAAAAGGAGATAAGAAAATGGCAGAAATAAAGGAGGTAGAAGACGAACAAATAATAGAGAGGACCGACAAAGAACAACAACAAAATGCTGAGTTCTTTAAAATGATGACAAAAATACTCAAACCTCTGACAAGATTTTTTTTAAAAGAGAGGGATAAATAAAACAAAGTAATATCAGAAATGGAAAGGGGGACAAAAACCACATGTAAAACCAGATTTAAGAGCTGTAAGATTATAATGAATAACTTTATTATAATAAAGTTGAAAATATAAAGAAAATGGACAAATTCCTAAAAATCTCATTGACTGAAACTAATCAAGAAGAAATAGAAAACATGAGTAGTCCTATAATCATTAAAGGAATTGAATTTTTTAAAAAATCTTCTAAGAAGGAAAAAGATCAAGATCAGATAATTTTTCAGACAAGTTCTACCAAATCTTCAAGGAACAAATAATTTCCATGATATGCAAAATATTGCAGAATATTAAAAAAAGAGATATTCCATAATCCATTCTACCAAACTAGTATAAGATAAATACTACTTCAGACAAAGACACTACTAAAAGGAAAATTACAGCTCAATATCTATCCTAAATATTGAAAATCTTAAATATTAGCAAACTGAATTCAACAGTTTATAAAAAAATATAATATATCATGACCAAGTTGAACTTGTCCCAAAAATGCAATAGTAGTTTAACGTCAGAAAAATCTATTAAATGTTTCTCACCAAAGAAAAACAGACCAAAGAAAAATAACATAATCATTTCAATCAATGCAGAAAAAAAAGCTTTTGATAAAATATAACACCAAATTAGCATTTTAGCTAGGAAATGAAGGAAAGTTCCTTATTTCTGATCAAGAATATCTACTTACAGCAAACATCACAGGTTTTTTTTTTTATTATTTTTTTTTATCTAGAAATAATTTTAAACTTACAGGAAAATGGTGTTAATAAAAACAAAAGGCCAGGTGCAGTAGCTCACACCTGTAATCCCAACACTTTGGGAGGCCAAGGCAAAAGGGATCACTTGAGGTCAGGAGTTCAAGACCAGTCTGGGCAACATAGCAAGTTCTCATCACTACAAAAGATTTTAAAAATTAGCCAGGCATGGTGGTGCACACCTGTAGTCCTAGCTACTTGGGAGGTTCACTTCACTCAAGGAGTTTGAAGCTGCAGTCAGCTATGGCTGTGCCACTACACTCCAGCCTAGGTGACACAGCTAGACTATGTATTTTTTTTTAATTTAAAATAAAGATAAATTTAAAATAAATAAAAACAGAATACAGAACTATGTATTCTTTTCCCACATCCACCCACTGTTAACATTTTGCCCAATTTGCTTTATCATTTTGCTTGCTGTCTTACCTCCACATGTGCGTATGTGCATGTGCATATATGATACACAGTATGAAATCAGTATGTCAAGTTACACTCCCATTTTTATTGCAGCACTATTCACAGTACCCAAGAGATGGAATCAACCTAAGTGTCCATCAACAGACAAATGGATAAAGAATATGTGGTACATACATGCAATGGAGTACTATTCAGCCACAAAAAAGAATAAGGTTCTGTCATCTGCAACAACATGGATGGAACTGAAGGTCATTAGGTTAAATAAAATGTCAGACACAAAAAGACAAACATTGTATGTTCTCATTCAGACAGAGAAGCTAAAAAAATTGATCTTATAGAAGTAGAGAGTAGAATAGTGGTTACTAGAGGCTGAGATGGTTAGAGGGAGACAGCCAAAGATTGGTTAGCAGTTACAAAATTATAGCAAGATAGGAGGAATAAGTGTTAGTTTTCTATAGTGCTTTAGGGGAACTATAATTTACAATTTATTGTATGTTTTCAAATAGCTAGAAGATGGGCTTTTGGATGTTCCCAACACACACAAAAAAGATAAATGTTTCAAGCAATGGATATGCCAATTACCCTGACTTGATCATTATACATTGTACACACATATCAAAATATCACATTGTACCCCATAAATATATACAACTATTGTATCAATTAAAAATTGTAATAAAAGCAAAAAAAAATTCTTTGTTTGAAGATAAATTGATATACTCTCTGTACTCAGCTGAAAAACAAAAAACAAAAAAGATTGAAGAGGCTACCTGTAGCTAGAACAGAAAGGAGAGAATTTGCCCCTACTAAGAGTCAAAGTACTTATATTCCTATTCCAAGTCAGCCAACTAGATAACAACAAAACACCTAAAAGGCTTGTAACTTCTGTTTGGATTTTTAAAAATCATTAATAAAAGCTAAGTGAAAAAGTATTAAAAATTATTCCAAAACTTAAAAAGTAAAAAGAATTTCCCAGCTAATCTTCTTTAAGTTCAATGTTTTTGCTATTTAAATAAGTAAGTTTATGACTGTGGGTCACTAGTGTAATAAACCTTATTTAAGCAAGTGGAACTTCAGCCCAAAAAGTTTATGTAAAATCGTACGATTCTGGCACCACCTGGTGGCAGTATATTCCAAAAGCAGAGGGGGTGTGTGTGTGTGTGCATTTTTATTAATAACTAATTCACTCATTTATTACCAACTATTTAATAGGCATCTGCTAGGCATAGTTCATATAAATCTTTAAATCTCTCTTGGAAGACAGGAAATAAAATAAAGTATAGTATCTAAAACAGGGTCCCTATCTCCAAGGAAAAAAAATCGACAGTTAAATTATGACTGTCAGAATGTAACAAAGGAATCTGTTCTTGTTTAGAAGTTTCCTGAAAGTATTTATGCCCCTAGAACTTTCAAGCAAGAAGTCCTTAGGAGTGTATTGATAAACATAGTCTATCAAATCACCACATTGTAAGCAGTTTTCAAGGAAAATAACCAGTGGTTTTAAAATGTCCTCAAATTCCTGACACTTCTTCATTTAAAAGGTTGGCCAGGTATAGTGGCTCACGCCTGTAATCCCAGCACTTTGGGAGGCCCAGGTGGGTGGATCACCTGAGGTCACGAGTTCGAGACCAGCTTGGACAACATGGTGAAATCCCATCTCTAGTAGAAATACAAATATTACCCAGGTGTGGTGATGCGTGCCTGCAATCCCAGCTACTCACTTGAACCTGGGAGGCAGAGGTTGCAACAAGCCAAGATTGTGCCACTGCACTCCAGCCTAGGCAACAGAGCAAGACTCTGTCTCAAAAAAAAAAAAAAAAAAAGACGCTAATTTCCCTTTCCCTAAATGTAGGTTTGACTTAACGACTCACTTCTAATGACGAAAAGTGGCAGAGGTAGGGGCATGTAACTTCTAAAGCTAGGTTGCTAAAGATATCACCACTTCCATCTTGCCTTCTTCGAAACCACTCACCTGGGGGAAGTCAGGCATCATGTCATAAGACTCAAGAAGCCTGTGGAGAGCCTACCTGGGGAGGTACTGTGGCCTTCTGCCAACCACCAGCACCCGTTTTCCAGTCATGTAAATGGGCCTCCTCAGAAACAGATCCTACAGCCCCGACCAAGCTTCAGATGACCGCATCCCTCATCAACATTGCTAAGCTAAGCCACTCACAAAGAAACTAAGAAATAACCAATGTTTATTGTTTTAAGCCACTTAAGTTTTCGGAATAATTTGTTATGCAACAGTATTAACTAATCCAATAACCTATCACTTCCTAGAAGACATTTTATCTATAACAGAAAGTAAAAATAGCTCACTCTAGTTTAATACTATAATTTGTCCATGTGTTAACAAAATTTCAAATTGTCCTTCCTAATTCATAAGGAGTGATCCTTTTTTAATTCCCCCAATTGTTTCACAATATTATTTCATAATATTTACTACCTTCTTTTTTCTGAGACAGGGTCTTGCTCTGTTACCCAGGCTGGAGTGCAGTGGTGTGACCATGGCTCACTCCAGCCTTGAACTCCCTGGCTCAAGGTCAGCCTCCTGAGTAGCTCGGACCATATGCATGCACCACCACATATGGCTAAATGTTTTTTGTTTTTTTTTTGTAAAGATAGGATCTTACCTTGTTGCTCAAAGTGCTGGGATTACAGGCATGATATAATCATATATATATAATATATAATGTTATTTATGTGCATACATATTACATATAACATGCATGTATATATTACATGTATGTGACATATGTATATATGTGTGTACATATAACATAAATATATGTGTGCAGGTATATATAACATATGTGTATGTATTATATATATAAAACACATATATAAACACACCCAGCAATATTGATCACTTTCTAAGTTAATTCAATGAAACAGCAACCTAAGTAGATTTTAATCAGTCAGCAAAGATTTTGTTTTTAACCCCTCTGTTTGCAGAGCAACCACACTAAGCACTGTGTGGAGAACCATATCCTTGAAGTACTTATAATTTAAATCAGATTACTGTTCAAGAAATAATTTATGTTTTTTAACTAAACTTTTTCCCTGGCTCTGAAGATTATAGGTCAACGGAAGAAGGTATGAAAAATTTTTCCTTTACCTCTGTGAGGGATCCACAAGCCACACCACCATGCAGGGCTTCGTCCAAAGCAGAAAGGGTAGTAGATAAGAATGCTGGTGAGAAATCAGCAGACCTTTGTGCTTTTATCTCATAAGCCTGAACAAGAAAATGATTAAGTTTTTTTTCAACCTTTATATATATTCAAAAACATAAACCAACTCTAATTTTCTAAATTTTAGCAACTTTAACCCTAATCCACCCTTTTCCCTTCTATTATTTATTTGTTCAACAAATATTTACTCTGTGCCAGGGTCTGTGCTAGATTATGGGGATATGACAAAACAGAGAGAGACGCTGCCCTCACAGTCTTATGAAGTCAACCAGAGACTATGAAATTAGGACTAGAAACCAGGCAATTACAACACAATTAATAAGAGATAATGTAATAGGGAAAGTATAACTGATATAGATTTTGGAAACAATGGAATTGCTGGATGCCTGTGCTAAAATCTGAAAGAGCTATTAGGTAAGCAAGGGAAATGTGACTATTCCTGCCAAAGAGGGCAGAACGTACAAAGAAAGGTCAAGAAGCAAGAGAGGAAACAGGGACTAACACAAACTGTAAAATATACAGTTCATTTAGAATGGCTAAAAGATGGAGTGTGGGTGCAGTACAGCAAGCAATGAGGCTAGAGAAGTAAGCAGGGGCCTAACCATGAACAGCTCTGTTGAAGATGCAAAAAGGAGTAACGTGATCAAGTCATCATTTCAAACTCGGGTTCATTTGTGAAGAACAGTGTGAAGGAAGGTGTGGAAGGCTGAGAAATGACCCCCCACTCCCACCCCTGGATATCCAAATCAAATCTCCAGAACCTGTCTGTGAATATTACCTTATTTGCAAAATGGGTGTTTGCAGATTTGATTGTTAAAGACCTTGAGATGAAGGGATAATCATGGATTATCCAGATGGACCCTAAATACCCTCACTCATAAGAGAGAGGCAGAGGGAATTCAATACACACAGGAAAAGGTTACGTGAAGATGGAATAGAGAGAGAAGCAGCCACAAGCCAAGGAATGCTAATGGCCACCAAAAGCTGAAAGAGGCAAGGAACTGATAATCCCCTAGAACCTCTGGAGAGAACGCAGCTCTCCCTACACCTTAATTTTGAACCTCTGAACTCCAAAACTGTAAGAGGATAAATTTCTGTTGTCTGAAGCCACACAGGGTATGATTTGTATTAGAACTGCCACAGGAAACTAATACAACAAATTATAATTTCAAAGACATACTCAGATTAGTTTGTGAAGAACAGCTTGAAACTGGGAGATCTGTCAGGAAGACATTACAATCATTCCAAAGAAAAATAATGGTAGCTAGAAGAAGGTAATAGTAGTGGAGATAAAAACTTTTGGTACTAGCAACTTTATCGAAAGCCAGGTACACAGTACGACAGTATCCCTTATCCACGGTTTCACTTCCCATGTTTCAGTTACCCATGGTCAACACTGATCTGAAAATATTAAATGGATAATTCCAGAAATAATTCATAAGTTTTAAATTGCACACAGCTCTGAGTAGCATGGTGAAATCTCACATGATCCCGCTTGGATGTGAATCATCCCTTTGCCAAGTGTATACGCACTATAGACACTCCCTGCCTGTTAGTCAGTAGCCATCTCAGTTATCAGATCCAAAAAACGTAGTATACATATAGTTTGGTACTATCCAAATTTTCAAACATCCACTGAGGGTCTTGAAACATATTCCCTGCGAAAAAGGGGAGAAACACTACTTATCTGAAGTTTTTCCAATATTATAAAATTCTGAAATTCTCCTTTTTTTTTGTTCAAGACAGAGTCTCACTCTGTCACCCGAGCTGGAGTACAATGATGTGATCTCAGCTCACTACAACCCCACTTCCTGGGTTCAAGCGATTCTCCTGCCTCAGCCTCCCAAGTAGCTGGGATTACAGGCGCCTGCCACCACACCCAGCTAATTTTTTTATTTTTAGCAGAGACTGGGTTTTGCCATGTTGACCAGACTGGCCTCGAACTCCCACCCTCAAGTGGCCTGCCCACCTCGGCTTCCCAAAGTGCTGGAATTACAGGCGTGAGCCACTGCACCTGGCCCAAAATTCTCCTTTATTATCCTTGGTGCTTGTCCACAAGAAATTATACAAATAATTCTGGTGATTTTATGTGTTGGTTTTGATCATTCTGATGTATTTAGAGCCACAAAAGTTAATACTCTATAAGGAAAATTGTTTTTTAAATTACTTTTGTTAATATTCCAGGATATTAAAATTTTACCTGATTTTTAAAAGATGTTCATTTTCTAATGTTCCTTTTATTATTTTAAAGGCTTTTGACAACCTCCGTTTGTTAATGGTCTGCTGTACATTTCAGTTTAGCTTTGCCTGCTCCAGGGCACTGTCCAGTCGCTATGCTAGGATATGGAGCAAATAACATCAGCTCCTCTTAGATACTGCTGTGATTCAGGAATCATGAACAGTAAGGAAAAGGCAAGGATAGGCAGGTAAAGAGCATTTGTTGCACATCTACTGTGTGCTGTATTAAGTACTTCATGTACATTATTTCATTTACACACAGGTATAATTATCTCCATTTCACAAAGGGTAAAAAAACTGAGACTAAGAGATTCGCCAGATATTACCACAAGGGGACAAACAAGAACCATTGCTGCTTTTTTCCTAATTAAAGAACATAACTTACCTAAAGCAAATTTGGAAAGAAGAAAAAACTTAAAGATAACAGAAGTCAGTAAAAAATTCCACAATCCTAAGATAACCATTATTAACAATATATGCCAAATACCTTTATAACATTCATTTTTATAAAATTGGCATGTATACTATATACAATTTCGTAGCCTGCTTTTTTCACTAAGCATTTATATCCTGGGCATTTCTCCTGTTATTACAAATTCTTGGCTGGTCATGGTCGCTCATGCCTGTAATCCCAGCACTTTGGGAGGCTAAGGCAGGAGGATCACTTGAAGCCAGGATTTCAAGATCACCCTGGGCATCATAGCAAGACCTCATCTCTACAAAAATAAATAAATAAGAATTTTTCAAAGATTTTAGTGCCTACATAATATTCCCTAACATAAATGTAATATAATTTATCTCCTTCCTTACTATTATTATTGTTTCCAATGTTTTGATATAAAAAATATTTCAGTAGGCATCCTTACATACACATTTTTGTCTATAATCTATCATCAGGCAATGTGGATGCATGTGAAGATACTTTCTCAAACATGCAAAGGCAGCCCAATCTGTCCAAATTAAAGTACTTCATTTGGAATTTTAAGTGTAATTTCTAGAATAATAGATTTGGTAAGTCAAAAAAATAATAATTGGCTGGGTGCGGTAGCTCACACCTGTAATCCCAGCACTTTGGGAGGCCGAGGTAGGTGGATCGCCTGAGGTCCGGAGTTTGAGACCAGCCTGACCAACATGGAGAAAACCCATCTCTACTAAAAATACAAAAGAAAAAATTAGCCGGGCATGGTAGCACATGCCTGTAATCCCAGCTACTTAGGAGGCTGAGGCAGGAGAATCGCTTGAACCTGGGAGGCGGAGGTTGTGGTGAGCCAAGATTGTGCCATTGCACTCCAGCCTGGGCAACAAGAGCAAAACTTCGTCTCAAAAAAAGAATAAAATGAACTAACAGAACAAAACTTCAGAGAAGTAGTATGTATATAAATGAGACAAAGACGAGTTTTGTGATATAACACTACCAGTTTTTCTTCTACTTTGGTGGCTGCTTCTTCTCAGACTCATTATCGTCTAATCTGACCTGTAACTGTTGGCATCACTCAGGTTTCAGGCTTAAGTACACTTATCGTCTTACTGTATGCACTTTATAGGCAATCACTCATCCATTCCGATAGCTTCAACTATCATATTTACACCAATGACTCCCACGTGCATGCCTCACCTTCAAGGTCCAGGTCCATATATTTAACTGCCTACTTCCCATCTTCACAAAATGTTTTATAAGCATCTTAAATCAGACAAGTACCGGACGGTGCGGTGGTTCATGCCTGTAATCACGGCACTTTGGGAGGCTGAGGCAGGTGGATCACCTGAGGTCACGAGTTCGAGATCAGCCTGGCCACCATGCTGAAACCTTGTCTCTACTAAAAACCGAGCATGGTGTTGGCATGGTGTGGGGTGCCTGTAATCCCAGCTACTGAGGAGGCTAAGGCAGGAGAATCGCTTGAACCTGGGAGCCTGAGCCGAGATCTTGCCATTGCACTCCAGCCAGGGCGACAAGAGCAAAACTTCATCTCAAAAAAAAAAAAAAAAAAACTTACACAAGTACTAAATTGAATGTATGATCCGCCTCCCTCAAACCTGCTCCTCTTCCAGTACTCCTGATCTCAGGAAATGGTACCACTCAGTTTCTCAACGCAAAAGTCAGGGAATCATCTCTGATACTTTTCTGTACGTCACTACCACCTCAGCCAAACAATTACCAAATCCCATTAATATTCTCTCCTAGGCTGAGCACAGTGGCTCACGTCTGTAATCCCAGCATATTGGGAGGCTGAGGCAAGTGGATTGCTTGAGGCCAGCAGTTCGAGACCCGCCTGGCCAACAGCAAAACCCCATCTCTACTAAAAATACAAAAATTAGCCATGTGTGATGGTGCATGTCTGTAGTCCCAGCTACTGAGGAGGCTTAGGCACAAGAATTGCCGGAACCAGAAGGCAGAGGTTGGAGTGAGCCAAGATTGCACCACTGCACTCCAGCCTGGACAACAGAGTGAGACTCTGTCTCAAAAACAAACAAAAAAAATTATCCCTCCTAAATATCTCTCATAGTAATCAACACTATAACCTCTGCATTAATAATACAAGTCACCATCACTTTTGGTCTGGAACACAGTAATAGGTACCTAACTAATCTTCATGAATATTTTCTTCCTCCTTTTCAATCACTTGTCCACATCTAAGACTGATCTTTTTAAAACACATATTACAGTATACCCTTCTTATGAGTTTCCATTGCTCTCAGAATAAAGCCCAAAATCCTTAACTTGGCATGCAAAGCCCCAATAATCTGACTCCTGCTTACTTCTCTGGCTTCAGCTCCTACCACTCTCTTTGCTGTTATGTCCCACTCGTGCAAGCCCCATTCTCCTTCTCTTCCCAGGGCCTTTGCATCTGTTATACCCAGTGTCCAATTACTCTTCCCTGCCCATCTCCCTTCCCAACTCCTTTGCCTATCTCTAACCTATTCATCTTCCATGTTTTAGCCAAAGTACTGCTTCCTTGGAAGGGCCCTCCTGACCCCCAAACTAAGTAGGGTCCCTTATTATAAAGTTTCAAAGCCCCTTATGCCTTTCCTTCATAGGATTTAGCACTATTATAATTAACTAATTATTTCTGAATTAATATTTTAATGTCTGGCTTCCCCCACTAGACTGTAAACTACAAGAGGGCTGGAACTGTATAAACTTGTTCACCATGACATCCCCAGTGCCTGACAAAGTACCTAATACATACTTGACATTCAGTAAATACAGGTCAAAAGAAAAAATGATTGAATAAATGAGCAAAAAAATTTCCTGAAGAAATGAACTAAAACTAAGCCAATGGACGAATAACAGGCAAGCAGAGAGCCAAATTATGAATGAACTCCCATTCACAATTGCTACAAAGAAAATAAAATACCTAGCAATACAGCTAACAAGGGACATGAAGGACCTCTTCAAGGAGAACTACAAACCACTGCTCCAAGAAATCAGAGAGGACACAAACTAACAGAAAAACATTCCATACTCATGGATCTCATGGATAGGAAGAATCAATATCATGAAAATGGCCATATTGCCCAAAGTAATTTATAGATTCAATGCTATTCCCATTAAACTACCATTGACATTCTTTGCAGAATTTTAAAAAACTATTTTAAAATTCACACAAAACCAAAAAGGAGCCTGTATAGCCAAGACAATCTGAAGCAAAAAGAATGAAGCTGCAGGCATCACGCTACCCAACTTCAAACTATACAACAAGGCTCTAGTAATCAAAACAGCTTGGTACTGATACAAAAACAGACACATAGACCAATGCAACAGAACAAAGAACTCAGAAATAAGACCACACACCTACAAGCATCTGGTCTTCAACAAACCTGACAAAAACAAGCAATGGGGAAAGGATTCCCTATTTAACAAATGATGCTGGGAGAACCGGTTAGCCATATGCATGAAACTGAAACTGGACCCCTTCCTTACACTTTACACAAAAATTGACTCAAGATGGATTATAGACTTAAATGTAAAACCCAAAACTACAGAAAAAACCCAAAACCTAGAAGAAAATCTAGGCAATACCATTCAGAACATAGACACAAGTAAAGATTTCATGATGAAAATGCCAAAAGCAATTGGAACAAAAGAAAAATTGACAAATGGGATCTAATTAAACTAAAGAACTTCTGCATCGCAAAAGAAACTACCATGGTAGAAAATGGGAGAAAATTTTTTCAATCTATCCATCCTACAAAGATCTAATATTCGGACTCTACAAGGAACTTAAACAAATTTACAAGAAAAAACAAAAAACCCATTAAAAAGTGCACTAAGGACGTGAACAGATACTTCTCAAAAGAAGACATTCATACGACCAACAAACATATTAAAAAAAAGCTCAACATCACTGATCATTAGAGAAATGTACAACAAAACCACAATGAGATACCATCTCACACCAATCAGAATGGCAATTACTAAAAAGTTGAGAAACAACAAATGCTGGCAAGCTTGCAGAGAAATAGGAATGCTTTTACACTGTCGGTGGGAGTGTAAATTAATTCAACCATCGTGGAAGACAGTGTGGCAATTCCTCAAAGACCTAGAGGCAGAAATACCATTTGACCCAGCAATGCCATTACTGGGTATATACACAAAGGAATATAAATCATTCTATTATAAATATACATGCACACATATGTTCATTGCAGCACTATTCACAATAGCAAAGACATGAAATCAACCCAAATGCCCATCAATGATAGACTGAATAAAGAAAATGTGATACACATACACAAAGGAATACTATGCAGCCATAAAAAGGAATGAGATTATGTCCTTTGCCGGGACATGGATGGAGCTGGAAGTCATCATCCTCAGCAAACTAATGCAGGAAAAGAAAACCAAACACTGTGTGTTCTCACTTATAAGCAGGAGTTGAACAATAAGAACACATGGACACATGGAAGGGAACAACACACACTGGGGCCTGTTAGAGGTTGTCAGGGAGAGGGAGAGCTTCAGGAAGAATAGCTAATGGATGCTGAACTTAATACCTAGGTGACAGGATGATTTGTACAGCAAACCACCATGGCACACGTTTACCTATGTAACAAACCTGCGCATCCTGCACATGTACCCCGGAACTTACAATAAAAGTTGGGGGGAAAAAAAAAAAAACTAAGCCAATGTTTAAGGCAGTGCTGAAATATAAGGAATGCTACAAGAATGAAGGTAAACCACAGGAGAAAGATGGCTTCTTGAACTGTATTTGGAATTGTATTAAGATGGCAGCTGAAGGTAGTGATGGAAGTAGAAATTGAAGTTGAATTTTGGGACCATGCTCTCTTATTTAATTATTAACTAGAAATATGCCATGGATATTGATCAATTAGAATGCCAGATGACAAATTAAAGATTTTCTGGTGCTTTACAACCTTCAAAATAGTAACAAGTTAATTTGAATCTAGTCACAGAATCACTGCACAGTATTTTAACTTCTGTTTTATCCCATAAAACAAAGAAAGCTGTTCAAAAGCCATGAAATAAATGATAAAGCTAAGACTAATGCCAATTTCTAACTCCAATTCTGATTCTCCTTCTGACTACCCTGCCTTTAAAATATTTTCCTCAGATCACAAGCTAAATCTGAACAAAAGAAAATATTTGTTGTTCAGCCGGGCACGGTGGCTGATGCCTGTAATCCCAGCACTTGGGGAGGCTAAGGCGGGAGGATCACTTGAGCTCATAAGTTCAAGAACAGTCTAGGCTATGTGGCAAAACCACATCTCTACAAAAAACACAAAACTTAGTCGGGCATGATGGTGTGCACCTGTAGTCCCAGCCACTCAGGAGGCTGAGGTGGGAGGATGGCTTGAGCCCAGGAGGTGGAGGTTGCAGTGAGCCAAGATCATACCACTAGACTCCAGCCAGAGCAATAGAGCCAGACCTCATCTCAAAAAAAAAAAGAAAAAGAAAAAAAGAAAGAAAGAAAGAAAGAAAGAAAGAAAGAAAGAAAGAAAGAAAGAAAGAAAGAAAGAAAGAAAATATCTGTTGTTCGAATATCTGTTCATTGTTTTTAGAAGTTTCAAATGACACTAACATTCCTTCCTTCTCCCCTTCTTCAGAGAATTGTACTTCATTGTTTAGTGTTCAGTAAATTTCAATATAAGGTAGTGAGGTAAGTAACTTACAGTCCACATAAATAAATACATTTGCAAAACACTGAACAGAATTTTAGGAAACTCTTACTATGGGAAAACAAGATATTTCTATCATGTTTCAAATCTACAATTTGAAAAGCTAAGCTACAGTCATGACACAAAAAGTCTGAAAAAATGTACAATTTGATGAGGGCTTTTGTAAAAGACTTCAAATTTTCTTAAGAGTAAAGGATAAATTTTTAATTACCTCTTATTCAATCAATAAGCAAGTATAAGTACAATTATGTGTACTTTATGATCTGGAACAAGTGATGATGGTAAAGGTCAGTATATCAAAGAAAGGGGCATTCTAAAATTAAGATTATAATTTAACTACGAGGCCCTCAAATACTACCTAATCAATCAGAGAAAGATGACCTTTGGAACTACCGCTATCGGCTACAGAAAAAAAGTAAAAACTTTCTGTTGCTCCCTAATTCCCTGATTTGGAAATTGTCTCCCATGAGTTTATAAACTACATAAATTTTTCACATATAGGCCAGGCACAGTGGCTCACGCCTGTAATCACAGCACTTTGGGAGGCCAAGGTGAGCAGATCACTTGAGGTCAGAAGTTTGAGACCAGCCTGGCCAACAAGGTGAAAACCCATCTCTACTAAAAATACAAAAATTAGCTGGCATGGTAGTACCGTGCCTGTAATCCCAGCTACTCAGAAGGCTGAAGCAGGAGAATCACTTGAACCCAGAAAGCAGAAGCTGGAGAGAGCTGAGATTGTGCAACTGCACTCCAGCCTGGGCAACAGAGTGTCTCAAAAAATATATATATATATTTGCTTCACATGTGTTTTCCTTAGAGAACTAACTTCTATGGTAGAAAACTCAATATTTTTGAGGTACTCATCTCTATTTCTGCATGTGCCTCATCCCTAAAAAAGCATGTTTAATGATGAGGAATCATTCATAATCAAATCATAATAAAATATAAATATACCGTTTGCATCTTTGGGGCACAGGCCCTGCTGACCATACATAGAAGTTCATGGACACCTCGATAACTCAGACCAGTCATCTTCATAAGCTCCAGTGGGGAAAGACATAAAAAGTCCTAAAGAAACATAAAGAGAGTATTTTAAACATATATGTGTAACAAAGATATTAGAGTTAAAAGGAAACCTTCAATTGATACTGCTTATGTAGACAAAAGTATAATTTATTGCAGATCAAAGATTTATACATTCATTATAGTAAGATAAAACCTTAAATCTAGCCAGGCACAGTGGTGTGTGCCTGTAATCCCAGCTACCTGCGAGTTGAGGCTGGAGGATTGCTTAAGTCCAGGAGTTCAAGACCAGCTAGGTCAACATGAGAACCTAGTCTCAAAAACAACAAAGAACAGAAACAACCAACCAAAACCTTTAAATCTTATTTACCCTGCTAAGAAGGATTTCCTTCACTACCTTGCTTAAAAATGCAAGATCTACTCTATATATTTCGCATGCTCCATCAATAAGAAAATGGTCTATTAATTTCTTTTGCTTTTAAGAGAAATTGTATATTTTGAATAGTATCTCCTCATTTCAGTCCTATTTCTCATGTAACTACAAATAAATAGCAAAGCTGTTACTTCACTTTATGCCATGACCACTCTCCCCTCAAAATGCAAAAATACTAAATTTGGGTAAATGAAATCGCAATTGGAAATGCACCCAAGGAAACTTGATATTTACAATTAGCCTATGGAAAAGCACCATCATTTATCTTTTTTATTTTGTAAGCCTACATTTTCATATTTCAAGTTTAAGAAGTATTAAGGTATAAAGTTAACTTGTGCATAAAACTTCTCAATAAAAATTTTAAATAAAATTTACCTGACAGGTAAGGATCTGATGTCTACTCAGACGGTCACACAGCTCTTGTGATAAACCCACTCGTTTTAGTTTCTTGCTACCCATGCCTCCAGATCCAGCAAAGAAAAGAAGAACCATGAAAAAAAAATAGAATATAACATAAGTAATAGTTAATAGGCTATCCAAAACAAAATTAAAAATTCCTCAAGTTTCTCCATATGCAAAATGAAACATACTGTGTTAAAAATATTACTGATAAAGGAATGCTATAGAATCTTTTTAAATGTTTTAAATATGAGAGACAATTTTTTATCAAACAGGCACACAGAAAAACAAGGCAACCTCAAATATAATTTCACACAATTATTCGATATTTACTACATGAATATAGTACCACTTCACATTTGTAGAGCATCTTAAAATGTTCAATGCATGTATAAATTTTATTTGGATATGGCTAATTTTTGTATTTTTTGTAGAGACAAGGTCACCACCATGCTCGCCCAATTTTTGTATTTTTTGTAGAGACAGGGTTTTGCCATGTTGTCCAAGCTGGTCTCGAACTCCTGGGCTCAAGTGATCCTCCCATGCTGACCTCCTAAAGTGCTGAGATTACAGGCATAAGCAAACGGGCCTGGCCCAAAATGTTCTATATTAACACTAGCTGCTTATATTCTCACATGCAGTTAAATTTCACTGTTGTACCTTGCTAGGGGTAAATGAGGCTCATGAAAGATTTATCTTCAGAGAATTAAAAAAGAATTACTGTGAGTCTCTTAATTCATACAAAGGAGAAGCTGTATATCTCATTGAGATGGTAGATATACATTTTTCAGTTCTTTCCAGAGGAAAGGAATAAATCCAAGGAATAAAGCAATATAGTTATCAGAACAGAAGTAACATTTTGGAATGAAAATATATGTATACTGAGAATGTACATGTACTGAGAATGTACATGTTTGTTTATTTCCAATACCATGGCCCTAATTTCTATTTAACACCTAAATTATCTAAATCAGATTGAATCAATCTCTATCTCTCTCTCTCTCACACACACACACACACAATACATACACACACACTTCTCACAAACACAAAAGACATCCTCCTCATTTCTCTCTATGGGAATTTGTCAGCATTGACTTGTTTCCCCTAATAGAAAACCAAGTGATACCTGCTATAACATTGCCTAGTGTCTTTTCAGATCAGGTAGTTTCAGGTAATCACACCATTTAGACTGATCAATTCAATTTTAAAAAAAAGGAAAGAAAGAAAAGAACTACGGGCCACACAAGGTGGCTCACGCCTATAATCCCAGCACTTTGGGAGGACAAGACAGGCAAATTGCTTGAGCCCAGGAGTTTGAGACCAGCCTGGGCGACAAAGAGAGAACCTGTCTCTACAAAAAATACATAAATTAGCTGGGCGTTGTGCTGCACAACTGTAGTAGTCCTAGCTACTCAGGAGGCTGAAATGAGAGGACCATCTGAGCCCAGGAGGTCGGGGCTGCTTTGATCACGCCACTGCACTCTAGCCTGGGGAACAGACTGAGACCCTATCAAAAACAAAAGACAAACAAACAAACAAAAAGCTATAAATTCTAAACTACAGGGACTTTAACAACCACCAATTCTGCTATCTCTGCCTTAATAGGGCCACTCCCATCACTTGCCTGGACTATTGCATATTGTTTCTGGCCACTCCATTCATTTGTTCCTTAATTGGCTCCTTCCACAGGCATTTAAATACACACCCTGCTGAGCTCTGGGGTACAAGAATAATTTAAGCATATCACCTCTCCTTTGAATACTCACAGTTAAGAGATGAAAAGAGAGGTACACACAAATAACTACAGTCATGCAGTAAATATCGCAATTGCTATTTAAAAGTGCTATGGGAGCAGACAGGAAGAAGCCCCAAATTCGCCTGCAAAAGTCATATCAGTGTCACAATCCTGCCCTGAGTAGCTTCCTAAAAAGACACTATCCTTTAACACTTCCCATAGGATTGGCAGACCACCGGATATATTTCTAACTTCTCAGGATCGCACAGAAAAACATCAAAAATTGGTCCCTCACTTCCTTCTCACTCATACATCACATTGCAAGGTTCAGTTCCTGTCCTTCCTGTCAGTTACTTTACCTCTCAGTGTCTTAATTTCCTTAAAACCATTGTTTTACAGTCATATGAATTTACCACGGCATATGACTGTAGTGGAGGTTAAAGCACTCGGGGAGTGCCTGGCACATAGTACTTAAGGTCAGCAATCATCATAATGACTCTCACATGATCTGCCCTCCTGTCATATGGTATGTGTATTGGTAGGTCACGCAATTGTCATCCTGTCTCCCTGACTTCCCTCCACAAAACCTTCCCCAGGGTCAAGTCTTTTCCTCTCCAATGTTCTCATCAACTTCGTACATTATCTATTCGATAATCTTATCAAAGTATTATTATGGTTTGCAAGTTTGTTTCCTCCACTGGAGCACGTAAATTCCTGCGGTGTATGTGTGCGCGAACGCACGTATGTGTGTTGCACTTGAGGGGAGACGGTCAACCCTGGAGAATGAACCCTGTCTTCCTCATCACCAAGAAAAGAAAATTCTTCATGTTAGATGTTCAACGACAACTGTTGAGGAACAATATTAGCTAATATTTATTGAGCCCTTATTATGTGCCACACTGTTCCAAAGGCTTCAGATATTTAATCTTACTTTACAGATAAGGATACTGAGGCACCAAGTTGAGAAACTTGGGCAAAGTTAAACAGCTGACAATTGGTGTGAAGCTCGCATTCGAATCCAGGGACCGGACTCCAGATTCCATGGTCTCCAACACCACCTGAAGTGGGACAGTCCCTCAACTTCCCCTAATGACAGGCTACCTGAAGCGGGAAGGGGCTGGGGAGGAAGATGGGCATCAACAGGCGGAAACATCACCCGGAATCCCCTAAAAAGGGCTTTTTCCAACAAGGAGCAGCTTCCAAGCATTCCCCACCAAAAGAAGGCCCGAAGCCTCCCCCACCCCCGGAATTCACGGCGGGGTTCTTAGTGACGATCCCGACAGTCTTAAGGGGGCGTGACCAGCACCCAAGAGAAAATCTCCGCTCCCCCAATATCGACACCCACGGGCCTAGGGAAGGAGCAGGAAATAATGAGCGAACCCCACTTCCCCACAACGGCACCCCACATGAAACTTTCCAGTACCGGGTCTGCAGCATCCAACTTTCAAGTTTCCCCACCCTTTACAGTTTCCCCGCGGAAAGCGCCGCAAAGCAACAACCGAAGTACTGATTGGGTTGTCATCCTGGCTATTGTATCCAGTCAGAGGCCGGCAGAGGCCCAGGTTGGGTCCGCGGCTTGCTGGGAATTGTAGTTAATACTGTGATCAGCCTAACAGATCGAATCTGAAGCAGTTCCTCAAAACAGTGATTATCAAAATCTGTTGGCGGACCATCACTAAAGAGAATGTGAGGCAAGGGAACACCCTGTTTGGAAATTTTTCTTTTTTTTTTCTTTTCCAGACGGGGTCTCGCTCTGTCTCCCAGGTTGGAGTGCAGTGGCGTGATCTCCGCTCACTGCAAGCTCCGCCTCCTGGGTCCGCGCCATTCTCCTGCCTCAACCTCCCGAGTAGCTGGGACTACAGGCGTCCGCCACCACGCCCGGCTAATTTTTTGTATTTTTACAAAATACAAAATACACACGGGGTTTCACCGTGTTAGCCAGGATGATCTCGATTTCCTGACCTCGTGATCCGCCCTTTGGGAGGCCGAGGCGGGAGGATCACTTGAGCCCAGAAGTTCGAGACCAGCTTGGGCAACATAGTGAGACACCATCCCCCACCCCTCCACCTCTACAAAAAATACAAAAAACAGGCCGGGCGCGGTGGCTCATGCCTGTAATCCCAGCACTTTTGAAACCGCTAGTGGGTTCACCTTGCCGGCTGCCTAGACAGAGCCGATTTATCAGGACAGGGGAATTGCGATGGAGAAAGAGTAATTCACGCAGAGCCAGCTGTGCGGAAGACTGGAGTTTTATTATTACTCAAATCAGTTGTCCCGAGCATTTGGGGATCGGAGTTTTTACCAATAGTTTGGCTGGTGGGGGCTTAAGAAGTGGGGAGTGCTGATTGGTCAGGTTGGAGATGGAATCACAAGGGGTCGGAAGTGAGGTTTTCTTAATGTCTTCTGTTCCCGGGTAAGATGGCAAAATTGGTTGGGCCAGATTACTAGTCTGAGTGGTGTCAGTTGATCCATCCAGTGCAGAGTCTGCAGAATATCTCCAGCACTGATCTCAGAGCTTACAATAGTGACGTCACCCCCAGGAGCGATTTGGGGAGGTTCAGACTCTTGGAGCCAGAGGCTGCATGACCCCTAAACTGTAATTTCTAAACTTGTAGCTAATGTATTAGTCCTGCAAAGGCAGACTGGTCCCCAGGCAAGAAGTGGGTCTTTTCGGAAAGGGCTGTTATCAATTTTGTTTCAGAGCCAAACCATGAACTGAATTCCTTCCCAAAGTTAGTTCAGTCTACACCCAGGAATGAACAAGGACAGCTTAACGGTTAGAAGCAAGATAGAGTCGGTTAGGTCTGATTTATTTCACTGTCATAATTTCCTCAGCGATAATTTTGCAAAGGCAGTTTCACTTTGGGATGCCGAGGCGGGCAGATCTCTTGAACTCAGAATTTGGAAACCAGCCTGGCCAACATGGCGAAACCCCGTCTCTACTAAACATACAAAAATTAGCTGGATGTGGTGGCAGGCACCTGTGATTCCAGCCACTTGGGAGGCTGAGGTGGGAGGAGTCAGACCTTGCCTCAAAAAAAAAAAAAAAAGAAGAAACTTAATGGGCCAGAGAGGCATGTTAGTTTTCTCAAGAATCGAGGACAATCCACCAATCACAGAAGAGTTTTTGGAAGAAAACGTTCTGTTTGTTTTAATTTGCTCTTTTCACCACCCTTTGATGATTACATAGTTTGGGAAATGTTGAATGAAATTACTAAACCTGAAACACACACACCGAGGAAAGCTGAGTCTGTGATTAAAGCACACCAAGGAAACCAAACAAAAGGCTTGGTGTAAGGCAGCTGTGGTGAGGAAACCTAGTAAGCCGTTACTTTAATAGTTGGTTTCAGGCCGGGGACGGTAGCTCACGCCTGTAATCCCAGCACTTTGGGAGGCCGAGGTGGGTGGATCACCTGAGATCAGGAGCTCGAGACCAGCCTGGCCAACATGGTGAAACCCCATCTCTATTAAAAATACAAAAATTATCTGGGCGTGGTGGTGGGAGCCTATAATCCCAGCTTCCTCGGGAGGCTGAGGGCAGGAGAATCGCTTAAACCCGGGAGGCGGAGGTTGCAGTGAGCCGAGATAGCGCCACTGAACTCCAGCCTGGGCAACAGAGCAAGACTCCATCTCAAAAAAAAGGCTTGGTTTCAGATTATTATGTTTGCGAAAAAGCCTTTGCTCATTCTTTGCTCTCTGATCTCTTATGCATACTTCTGTCTTATAATTTAGCCCACTGTATCCTAATTTTTGGCCTGCATCTCCCTTGAGAAAAGGGACCTCCATTTACTCGACTTAGAGAATAGAGACTAAGCCCGGTGTAGTGGCGCACGCCTGTAGTTCCAGCTACTACAGGAAGGCTGAGGCTGAAGGATTACTTGATCTAGGAAGTTCGAGGTTGCAATGAGCCGAGATCACATCACTGCACTCCAGCGACAGAGACCCTGTCTCTAAAAAAATAAAATAAAGCCTAGCACACCGTTCAATTAACAGTTGTAGGGTAAATGTGCAAATAAACGAATGGAGTGAAGCAGAAGAATATGGAAATTCAGACCGCAGAGTTCCGGAACAAAAGAGCCCAGTAGATAGAATAATAATGGAGTTCTCCTAGCTCCAGGTATCCCCGCGCCTTGCAAAACACCATCACTGGCTGGCGTTCACTAAATGTTGACTTCACATGTTAGGGGGATAAGAGAGTGGAAGGAAAAAAAAAAAAAAATCCAAGGTCACAGTTCTTCCTGCCACCTGCTCGGCCGAATGCAGAACTGAAAGTATTGAGCGCCGAAGCTGTCACAATTGAGGGAGACGGTCCGCAGCCAGGTAGCTGATTTCCTCTTTCCGAGCTTTCTAGCTTTCCCTACTCACGGAGATGTGGCGTCACGTGACTCAAACAAATATGGCACTTAATTATCATCTTCCCTGCCTTGAGCCAATAGGAGTGGGGCTTTCAGACTTTGTCACCACCCCCACCACCGCTGTTCGGATGGGTTCTGTCACCTGACTCGGCTCAAACATGGCTGCGCTGAGAGCTCTCTTGCTTTGGGCGCCGGGAGCAGGTGAGTGTAAGACACCCCTGAGGAGGGGCCCCTCTCTACGACCCCCGCAGGGAGCGTCCCTGCGGCCCACCCCCGCACTGCTTTCCACTTATGACACAGATTTGTCTCCTGATCGTCAATCCTCTGCCTTAACAGAGGGCTCAAACTAGAGAGGTTCCTGCTGAATTTCTCATCTTTGAGGAGGCGACCACCTGGGGATTTGGAGTGACTGGACATAAAGTTCAGTAGGGAATACGGACGTAGAGTTATGTGTCTGCGCCCGGGGCACATATGACTATTAATATTATTGAATATAGGAATCTGCGTAAAGAGATGGGATCCGCCCCTTGGAGAAAGTGTTTTCAAAAAGTACGTGGGAAATTAAACTTAAAACGATACTTAGGCAAGTAAGTCCCGCCTTTTCCAGGCGGACCAGTAGTTGCTGCTTTGTCTTAATACAGCGCCTTCTGTTTCTTCTCACTGGCGTGTGTTGTTTCTAGGAGGTACTCCGCGAATGAGAACATTGAGAATGTGTTCAGCATAACTCATTTCTTTGTGTCTCCCTGCACTCTGTGCTGGGAAAATGAATCATCCATTTGGAAAAGAGGAAGCTGCTTCGCAGAAGCAGCTTTTTGGATTTTTCTGTGAATGCCTGCGGAGGGGAGAATGGGAGCTGGCACAGGCATGTGTACCTCAGCTACAGGAGGGACAAGGGGATATCCCAAAGAGGGTGGAAGACATACTTCAGGCATTGGTGGTGTGTCCAAATCTGCTGAGGTAAGAGATCTTTTTTCCTACCACACAATCCCAGGGTGAGAGACACATGGTTCAATATCTGGGCATTGGTCAATGTGCCCCCACTCAACTACCCTCTGAAGAATAAGCAGAGACACAGTGTATTTCATGTGCTCTGAAATTTTACCTCTATAGTATACAGCCATTACTTAGTCAATATTGGCTTTAGATTATCATCTGCAACTGAATGTAAGCCTGGCCACCAAAGTGTGCCTGAAACTGCCATTTCTTGTTTATCCTCGTTAATATAGGTGGTGGAACTGCAATGGAAAGTATTTTATTTGCCTCCAAAAAAGCAAACCCTGCTCTCTTCTTGCTTACGAGGTTGAAGATATTGTTGTCGCTTTACTTAAAACTTTTTATTTCGAAATAATTATAGTCTCACAAGAAGCTGCAGAAATAAGAGTCCAGTGTATCCTTTTCCCAGTTTCCCCCAATTGCAACATCTCATACAGCTGTAGTACAATATCAAAACCATGAAATTGACATTGGTACATTACTGTTAATGACACTACGTACTTTATTTGGTTTTCAGCATTTTCTTAACCTGCCTTCATTTTTTCATTTGTAGTTTTCTGCAGTTTTATCCATATATAGATTCGTGTAATTTCACTGTAGTAAGGATCAGAACTGTTCCATCACCACAAAAGAACTCCCTCACTCCTTGGTGCTACCTCTTTGTATTTATACAACAACCCCTCCTTGTTCCCTGGCAACCACAGTTCTCCATCCTAGATTTTCAATGAAGTTCCTCCCGGTTATGCTAGTAACCACTGGTGATACAGGATTCAAATGTACTGTTTTAAGTCTTTCCTTGGGTTTTCCATCCTTTGACTGTTATGCTATACTGTTTACATATTGTATTAGCACATATACAATGGAGAAACTTAAGTGATCCCTTCTTTTTCTTTTTCTCCTTTAATTTGAGATCTAGTCCGTTATCGTCTAAATTCCTAACTTCAGAGAAAGGTCTATGAATTCCTGAAGTCCTGTTTTTAGCATATAGTTAAAAATAAATTTGTATGAAATTCCTTTTTTAAGACTATCTGATTCACTTTCTGTATTAAAAA